AAAACATTTAGGATCGACAAGCGATCTTCTTGGATCACTGCCAGCAGCTATTTCAAGAATGACCATTGATTTCACTACCACAAGTTACATGTACGATTGGAGGGGCTGAAGACGCAAGATGTCCTTGGATATGGTAGAAGAATCCCAAGATAAGGCAAATACATCAAGGCAAACTAGGTGTGTAAGGAAGTGTAACAAGGAGGAAGGCGCCTCGGCCGGTTGCCTGATCAATCATGCAAAAGTTCTAAAACAGAGACTGCGTAGCTTCCAAGAAGTCGTACTCCGCAATTCTATCCTGACATCATGTCCAACGCGACTACCCTACAAAGTACAGCAAGGATCGTTCTTGGGAATTGTACGATCCTGACATCCGACATCGACGCCAATGCCCAGATTCTGCAGCATTTCATGATCCACAAAAGTTCCAGGTGCCATTTGCGTCAGCATTAGTCGACAGAACGCTTTGTGAACTAAGAAGCTCATGAAAAGCCATGACAGAGACATCATACAAATCAGAGATCTTGCTCCCACCGAGGAGATCTATCCAAGCAATAGTAACCGTTCAATTTGGTTATTCTACGGAACTTTTGGTCGAGAGCGTGCGTCTCTTGATGTTGTATTCAGCCTCTAATGGATATGCAAGATGGCATGATGTCATGATGTCAAGGCGAAAGTTGAGACTCAGAGAACTCATAGGCAACTCATGTCGTGGTCCCTCGCAAAAATTACCAAAGAAACAAAGTTTCTCGCTACAGGTCTCAAAGGGAACTATCGTTGAGGATGCTAGCGGTACGTCACTGTCAGTGAAAAGGCTCGAAGAGAGGGAAGAGCCAGATTATTACAAGCTGAAGGCGTACATGACGAGGGGACAAAGCTTGACTCAGGCTGGATGTATGGTGTTTGGAGATATTCAGTAAGCTGACAACGGTATCAATGACTATGCTCAGATCTTTGAATTCCCTGCGTATTCTAGCGTTCATCGTCGTGACTTCCATTTCCTGCAGGGTTCCTGCTAATCACCAATCTCATCACTGGCAGCTCTTGTTCTGTTTCTCCTCCTCCTCCATCTCCTTCCTACACTTCCCTTGTTTTCCAGTCGCTTCCAATTACTCTTTCTATTTCGCTTTCCCAACTCCTCTCCTCCGTATCCTCCATGTGCCATTCTCTCCTTTTCATCATGACTCAACGAATTGATCCACCCAGCTTTCCATTCATACACATTTTTTGCGTAGACCCTTTCAATGAAATGTAGAGCCCTGTGTGTCTGATTCAACACGTATGGTCAGGGGGAAGCCTGCCGATCCACTGAAGCCAGTTCTAGGTCACCTATCCCACCTTTCAGACAGCTGTGTATACCATCGATGTGGATCAGAGTATTTCTTCGTATTTGTCAGTTGCCTCGCCCAGTATACTGTGAGGGCACGGCTCTAAAAAACAATGAGAGTGTCAAGAGATCTTCAGCCCAAATCTCTCACAAGGATACGTATTCCATCTATTTGATGCTTTCTCTAGTTTCAACCTCGATTCATTCAAAATGGCGTTGTCTTCGCTCCCTATCGCAGGTCCCGGTCCGTTTCACATCAAAGGCGACGTGCCACAAGCCTCGCTGTAGAATCTTGCACCGACGTCCATGAGACACTGGATTTGAAGCCACAATCAGCTACGAAATAGGTATCGCGGTCAGATGATAGTGACCATAATACGGAGACCGCCCCTGGCATTTTGATTCGACTCACGTTCACAGAGGATGAATGACCTGATGATCATGAGGTGGGGTCAGCGTAGGATGCCTCAAATTCGAAGGTCTCGACCGATGTCAAGGGAATGTAGAGCAGTCTATTGGTCATGCAGAGGCCCAAAGAAATAAAGGATCTAGCTCTTTGTTGCAGAATTATGCTCGCATGCAGCTGTATGGGCTTCTCCAAGTCCCAAACTATGTACATGATTATCGTGAGCATGAGAGGCACCAGTGCCGCAATGGTAGCCAGCATCCGCGCAGTGTATGCTAGTACGTATATTGATTTCTCCTGCATTTGCTCATCATCGACCGTGGAGATGATTATCAGACGACAGTCGATTTCAATGGACAACCTGGTCATATGTAACGGCAAGGATACAATCTTGATTGAACGTCCAACGAAGGTCTAGGGGTTGGCTTCGCTTGTGAAATTATCTGCATTCCATCGCTTATGTTGTGTAGAGAGGAATCGCAGTATCAGAGGGTCGGTCGATTTTTTCAAGTATCTGTGGAACCATTATTGAAATAATACTGAAACAGTTGTGGTAGGATGCTAGGATGCTTGAGAGCTCCATCATCCTGAAGATGGTGGCGGATAAGGCCATCAACGAAATCTCATCAGTCTTTTGGTCATTCAAGCCTCCGGATATCTCGCGGCCGACGCAACATACATATTGATGTCGTCCACCGGCGAAGAGTCAGCCGAAGAAGACAGCCTTAGTTACTACTATGTGACAAGTAAGTACTAGTCTCATGCTAATCGTCTGACGCTATGTAGGAGAGACATTAATGCGGCACATAGAGCATTCAATTAAAATAGAAAGAAACATTCTTTTCGATCGCGACTTTGGCCCACGGCTGATCGACAAGAAAGGAAACAGTAAATCACTGTTCGCAAACCACTGCTAGCACCCTACTATACGTGATATCCACACCCGTTCGACTTCGTCGAATATCTAGGTGCAACGCCAACGGTTTGTGAGGACGGCTTAATGTCATTCTTGGAAAATGCAAGCGTATATTATGGGAGACAGCTACAACAATCGCCAAGGTCCGTGCAAAGAGTAATATCTCGTGAGAATCACGTCTACGATTTCTTGTGCAAGTACACTCTGGTCGCTCTGGTCAGCCCAATTCGAAGACGGCTAATTTGAGTGCTTTCCAAAAAGAGCCGGACTTCTTCGTCAGACATTTGAGGACATTATGTCGCTGGATGTCAGCTCAAAAGATCACACAGTACGAAGAGGCATCTCATCCATGCTGGGCTCTTCAAGCAACACCTTCGCGGACAAGAAAGTGGAGAATGGGCAAAAGAGCTTGTTGAAGAGCACAGGTACACGGTACAAGAAAATTCGAAAGGTCTTTGCATAATGGTGATAACTCCAATGATGGAAAGGTATATCTACAACTCTTGGTTACTAAGTTGCTGCGAGGATGGTGAGGGAAGCAGTCAGTAAAGTGTCTCTTGTCAGCAGTCAACGTAGGTCGAGTATTCTCAATAATGCAAAGTATTCTGAAGGAAGGTCCGCCTTGACAAGATGGTGCTTGCGATCTCCGAGAGCATAAAACCTTCTTTGCTGAAGTTGAGGGTTTTTCTATGACTGATGATGTACATATGTTGAGTACAAGACCACACATCACAACCATCTACACATATTTACATTGCCAATCAGCTGCAGAAATCTGTCATGAAGTCTTGTTCCACCGCTCAACCTTGTAGCGAGTCAATGCGACGTCCTAGTATATATATTTACACAACTACGTGCATCTTACCCATCTCAGTTACACTGTGACACTGCGGTTTATTGGCGATCTCTTTGCTAAGAGACTCATGGTCCACAATTCTTGCTCTTACCCTCGGATCCAATTCTAGAGTACATCTCTCCGTCCCCTTCGACTTTATCGGTAGGCTCGACTAATGTTGTCAGCGGCATTTTGACTGGCTCTTGATTGTCGATCAATCCATGATGATGCCTTGGATGTCGTATATCTGTCCCGCCCAACACGATGCTCAGCTGGTATCACTTGTATGCTGTATTCAACGGGAGAGATAGCTATCGGGAGCTGTCTGAGTGCCCTTGTAGCTTCACCTGACTGCCTTCGAGCCCATTCTTCTTTGGCTTCTGGACTATAAGGTTAAGATTGGCTAGCTCTCGATCTGTCAAAAAGCATACTTTATCTGCATTCCAGGCAAGATGGCCACATACCTCACGCGTCCGATTTCTTACCTTCAGCATTCTTCAGCCGTGCTTGCTTTCTATTCTGTATACGACATCCATTCAGAAACCCTGCAATAATTGCGGCCTTTATCCCATAACGCGATAGGCGCTATTTCCGAGCCGTCTGTTGGTGCTCGACCCGACCAACACTCTGCGCTGTATTCTTCACCATCAATCCAAGCTCGACCCGTACTCTACTGTCACATTATCGTGTAGCTTCAGAATGTTTTCTGCCGCCATTTTCGGGATAGCCGCACAGGACTCTGTAGCCGGGCTTCAGCCTAGTTTTCAGTGGGTGCCCAGTAATCATCGCAAAAGATGTGGTCTTCAGTCTTGTTCAGTCTCCTAAGATGAGGAGATCAGGGATTTACAAAGCAGGTCTGAGACTCAGCGGTACTCTGAAATACATAGCTGGACTGAAGCTTGAGATGACTCGGCCATGCATGGCATGACCCCTAAAACCAACAACTGACTGGCGACTGAACGAGATCAGAACCAATAGCTTAGATTGACGGCAGATCATGAGCCTCTTTTTCTGTCACACCAAGGGTTTGTTGGAGGGTATTGGCCGCCTCAAAATGCGTGGCTCAGCATCCACATTGGCCATAAATGCAGGCCACATCGCACAAAATTTATAGCGGAGTCTCTTATGTCTCGGGCTGGGAAGATAATGATCCTTGAGTCTAGCTCCGCTTGGTTCTTACTGCTGGCATTGATACAATCGGCAGCGCATGCTGCAGTATGCAATTCTCTATACGGGAGACCAACAGCTAGCGACTGTGCAGTACTCGCTGCAAAACTTGGTTGGGGATGGCCGCAAGATCAGTGGACGCCTGGATCAATATTAGCCGGATCGTCTCCAAGAATGTGGTTAACAGCTGGAGTGACACAGAGACCGCTCGGAGTAGGCGAGAGTATTTGGGCACTTAAGACAAGTCTATCCCTGACAGCTGAGATAAGTAAGTCACCGCTGTCATGTATACTCTTTACTTTTCCTACCACTTTCAGTAGAGCTGATACGGTATTCTTCAGGAAACTGTAAAATGGTGCTGTCAAATACACTCTTGCCTGGTCTCGGTTTCAGTTGGGACACGGGCAGCTACAGGGATATGATTGGTCCGGCGACTGCGATCGTGCAGCAGTGCGTGGAGACTCCGTTCGCATCTGTCGGTGTATCTGTCGGTGGTTTCGACTATGTCGGTACGAATCCTGACCCAGACAAGCGCCTTTCTCTTTATGTAGAAATTCAGGAGTGAAGCCCATGTACTTGCGAAAGGTCTACATACAACGTTTCCTTCTAGTTCTCCACTAATTGATGAAAATTATCTCAGGTGATCGCAGGCAGTTGATTCTTTCTATGATGGCCCCTAAATCGAATTATGATAAAGTCATGGTCGAAGTCGAAAGCAAGCAACAAGGTCTGTGTGCAGCCACAAAACAACGCCTAGATGGCCAGCTTGGCGTCATGGGTTACGAAAGCTGTACCCCTGGCTCAACACAAGATGACGGGGAGAGATTCGCCGACGATGTTTTGAACGACCGTTACAACGTGCTACCTGATGCCCAAACCGCTCTAAACCAGCTCGGTCTTGAACCTACATGCGGACAACCGTGTTCTGGATCCAAAAATCCGTGCACTGGTGGCTGTCATTGTGGCGCAGACCTTCTAGAGAGCCTTGGGAGCTTCAAGACGCAATTCAAATGCATAGAGTCATATTTTACCTTTGCTAGTCGGCGGCGAAGTCTATCGTCTCTCCCTGCAGGCGTCAATGACCTTGGATCCATATCCGCAGGCATCAATACCGACACAACCATACCACCGACTGTTGACGATATCGCCATCTTCCTCGCTCCAGGTCCTGAGCCAGAGCCGGAATCTACGTTCGACTGGCCCAGAGCACCGCATGTGACATTTGATCACAATGGGTCCATCACAGGAGGTGCAGAGGTCTGCCCGTGCAACTGTACATACATCTCAATATCCTGTTGTGTATCCGACACGGGTCTGGTGTATGAGCCCGCGGACTACAAGTTGGGTGCGGTTCAGCCTGACAGTGGGCAATGCTGCGACTCCAAGTCAGGGCAAATGAAAGAAGGTTCGCCCAATGGCGGCGACGGCTTGTGCTGATTATCTAGATCCAACCTCAACTCGGCTGATCATGAGCATCTCCCCCAAACTATGCTCAATACAGAGCATGGTGTCTGATCTGGCAAGACGCACAAATAGTCTAGGAGCAGAACAATCAAAAGAGAGCAATTCCGAATGCAGATCAAGGAACAGATTCCAACCGTTTGTCTACATCGCAGTCCAACGGGTTGTAAAAGCCAAGTATTCAATTCATAACGCTCTGGTTGAATATCGTCAATCATGCCCTGTCCTCTTTGTGATGTGCACTGACATGTATTTGCCAGTATGTCGTCCCTACGCCTCGTTAATGTGACTGAATTCAGCGCCTAAATTCACATCCTCATTCTCCATCACGATCAGAGGATAACTCACCCTACCATACTTAATATCTTTTACCCTATAGATGCCCAGTTGTTATATTTGGTCCTCTCAAAATGACTATCTCGAGCCTGAGGATGATACGGGGGAGGCTGCCAGAACACTGCTGATTTTTACTGATGGTTCGAGCTCACCCGGCAGATACTGCAACACATGGCTTATATCACGCTTCTTCAACTTTCAGGCCCTCAATCAACATGAGAAACGTCGCAATCGCTATTGGGAGAAGACAAATTCACTTCTAATATCATAATTCAGTTGAAGAAGCCTTCGTCCTGGTTCATGAGCTAACTCTAGATGCCCATTTCTGTCATGATAGTGACTAACTTTTTGCTACCAGTCAAGCATTGCGAAGTCGCCGGGTATCGGCGGCAGGAATACGGGCAGTAGAAGATTGCATAGGAATTTAAGGACGTCAGGGTAAAGGATGATGAAGGGGATGAACTGGAGGATTATCGGCAGTAGGAAGATCATATATCATTGAGGTCAGCCAGGACGGTAAAACAAGAACACAGCGTACTATATGTACCATGTTGGGAAGCTGGAGGAGTTTGATGGCTTGATTGAAGATTGAAGGTTTAGTCTGAGAATAGGATGAATAGCAGCAAGTCGAATCATATGCACTCTCTGCAGGAGGTAGACGGGCGAAGCTCTGCGCAGGCGTCTTGGGGATGCAAATTGATAAATCTACATCAAAATTAGTTTCACCACGCCCTTCCCTAGAAGAGCCCCCTAACAAGTTCCTTAGAGAGAAGCGCGGCGCCTAAGGGAATAATCTCTAAGTAAGTCTTCGAACATCAAGACTGCACCTTCAAAGCCTTCTGCTACATGGGAATTGGCCGCAACAACATATGCATGATATCGATTGTAAGTGTCTCATACGTTCGCTCGTTGATATATACCTCATACACACTAGACCAACTCATAAATCTACCTACGAGGAGATCATATCGCAAACGACGCACCTTTCGCCAACCAACTGCCAAACGATTATCCACCATTACCTGAACCCTATATTGGCCTCACACAGCTCGAGGCATCCTGTTTTAACTCTCTTCTCCTCACCCTATTCAGCAATGGATCCTCCAACTCCCCACCGATGGCACTTTGGTGCTGATCGACCCCGTTAGCAAACCGTCTCAACATATGAGCTCGTTATATGGGATCCTTCCACGTTGCCGTAAAAAACGAGCAGACGGCCTTCAGATATCAAATTCCTGCTTCTCAGCTCACCTCAATCCTCTTCGCCAGGAAACTCTTTTGATAATCAATCAGCCTTGCTCTACCACCTACAGGCTCTCTTCGCCTTGTCATTGTGCTGCACGGGTCTCGATATGCCGGTGAAATGCGGTCTGCACAGTTGCATGGTCTCGCTGGGAGCTTAATAAAGCTTTGTACTGACAGCTTGACATACTAGGGGGCTCTGGGACTCCTCTTCGTCTGTTGCTGGTCCATTTGCCCAATCCAAGGCTCATCATCTCATAGTCGACTCAGACTCAATCTCTACGTATTTCGATCTCTGCCGCAAGAAATGTCAGGTTATCTACCGACGCTGCCCCCCCCCCTTATCTCCTCTCTACTTGTCGTCACTTCCAATAGGGGTCCCAGCGTAGTTTGATCGGATCATTGAGCGCATTCTGGCTTTGAATGGAAGACCTGCAATTGCTGTCTGCGCCGATGACTATTCTAGGCAAGACATGTTCGTCTATTGCTGCATTCCTTGAATCGCCATTGGACGCGAAGGAACATCGACTTCGCCTCACTTTTCAAGTACCTCGACGATCATCTCTGGTCTCTCCTTCAGGAATCGATTGCTGTCATTCTGGTAAGCGGCCAAGTCGCGCATTTACCACAGTCGGTACCATAGAGGTGTTTTTCGGTGGAGATGCAGGCTAAGAAGGTCACCGCCTAGGACTCTCTCGATGAACTCGAAGTGATGTTGATCTGGTGAATGAATTTATATTGGAAGTTATCTAGGTCGCCTATCTTGATGGCTGACCAGGCAGTCAATGAGCTGGACTGATATGGATCATGGCCTGATGCTTTGCCTCGGTCGTCAAGAGAAACGCCAGGAACTATGCCGGGTTTGATATCATCCTTTGACCTGCTGGTGCTTCCAAGTCCTGGACGACCTATTCCAGAGAATCAAAGCGTCTGCCAGGTATTTTGCGAGCTCCACCATTTCGGCAACACAATTTCAATCCCGAGCTTGTTTATCCGCTGTAGCTTGAGCATGCCGAAAATTCTAAGAATCAGACGTTAGAGATATAGTTTGATGCTGCTGACCTCCACTTTTCCCCTTGCTCAGGAGCTCTATATCAAATACATTCTCTAGACTTCATCAATTCTTCCTTTCCCTGAGTAGCTGGGTGATAGAGAAGTCCATATGTGAGAAGGTATGATTGGCTCAATGCGCTCAACCAACTTGCTTATTGGAATTTGATGGCATCTCATTATGTGCTTGACCAGGTGCTCGAAGCAAACTAGAAAGCTTCAGACTTCAGACTCTCGGTTCAAATCCGAGTATTCTTGATTTTGTAATTGGGGTTGATGGCGTTATATATATTTAGTGGCATGTGAGTGCCCATACGAAACGTTTGCCTCGTCTAGCTTTTCATCTAACAAGTTCAGTGCGCTTCTCGAGGGGTGACAATTAAAGCCTCCAGATTTCAATGAATGTTGGGACCATCTCTGCATCGTGTCTGTCTTTCAGGCTTTGTCAAGTGAGCTGCATTTGAAGAGTCGCCCTCGAGCAAGCCGGCAACGTCTAGACCACCATGTGGATGCCTGGTCAATGGAAGCATTCGCTACTATCCTCAAATCTGATGACAATGTTGCAGCTAGGCACCGTAATCCCTTGTTTCTTATGCCCGAACGTCGAGGAGTGTTCTCCCTGCAGGTGCTTGCAATATTAGTGATTCCAGCTATCGCCATCATGCGAGGAGCGTATAGCGGTAGCAACATGGATTGGTTCGCAGTTTCTTGCGCCAACATGGGTTATATATATTTAGGTTACTGGATCAGCAACAGAAGGGTCTTGCGACCATGATAGGACCCATATGTTCACACGAACATGTACCACACAGGAGGAAAGATCCCATCATGAGCTTACCCGGATTCGAAGCAGTGAGTCTCGAGGTATGTTGATGGCTCTCCCTAGAGTCGTATATGGTTCAAAATGAGTCTCGTCGTTCTGAACACATACACACACCAATAGTGCTGTAAGTTCATGAGACACGTCTGATACTGAAGCCCATAGGCGCTTTTGTCGTCCACTGACTGCATTTGAAGTCGAAAAGACTTTTGTTTCGATTGATGGCAGAAATTCGATAGAAAAGTCGTGCTGTAGCAGGCATGAAGAGGTGGTTATGATTTTGCTGAAGACATACATCTTTCGATGGATTCTGTCGACGGACCGCGGCCTTTGAGGGCATCAACTTCCGCATGGAGGCATCCCGGGGTAGACAGTAGTGGAGGCAGCATCCATGGTCATATCGACGCCACTGAAAGAATCAAGTGGGGAAGAGAGTATAGGGCCTTATATGTAAGCCCGTCCAGAGTTGATGGAAGAAGAACGATCTGAATCGGGTGCTCTAGCTCAATTTATAGACATCAGGCGAGGCAAAATCTACAAGTGTACAACCTTACATCCTTTGTGCTACATCACACACCAGCAAGTGGAACACTGGCCGCGTGAATACGATGGTGGGGTCAATAGTGTACTACCTTATATTGGAACCCGACTGACGAGGGAGTCAGCGGACTGGACTGTGTGAATGGATGAGCTTGTCAGCTGGGTCGGGTGTCACTCGTGGTTTGAGATGTGTTTGGGGCGGAGAAGAGGGTGTGAAGGAACGGGCAAGAGCACAGGGTATGTGCAGGATCCTGACTTCCGTTTTGGGAAACACACTCGGCAGGCTTGAGACGAGGCGCGACGGCATGCGGTTTATGAGCATTTGTTCATACACCTCCGGTGACTGAGATTTGGGCAAGATATCTGCAAATATTCGCACTCTCCCTCATGATTCTCAGTAGGAAAGGCTGGCGTTTTGGGACCCGAATTCAGAATCGCGCATGCCTGATTGATAGGCGTAGCTCAGTTGCTAGGAGACATTGTATTTTCAGGCAAGAGCGAAGGCGTAATAATACTCTTTCATCCTCTTTGCTACGCTTCATGACAAACCTTAACCCACATTTATGGATAGTAATTTTAAAGTCGCTTTGACGCCCCATCTTCCCTCTGCCGCTGCCTGGTCCAGCGATAGATTCCTTCCACTAGTATTGCAACGACCGCACCTCCCCCGAAGCCTTAGAAGCTTTGTTCCCAGGTGATGTATATACTGTACAGCCCGTGCTGACCAGATTATACGCCACCGGAAGAGAGGGTGGTCGGCTTTTGATTATAGCAAATTTGAATTAAGGATATCCACCATCTCTTCACATTTATGTATCTTTCAGCTTCGGTAGGTGTAGGAGACAAGAAGGAGGCAATAGCGGTGACGAGGGGTCCTCAGTGACTGTAGAGACGGGTCAACTGTTGAACAGTAAGAATACGAATGAGAAGAGGGCGAAGTCACCGTTGAGTATCGTTCCTTCCTTATCCATCAGCCTGTCAGTCGGCT